CTTCCATCATACGAGCTTATAAGCAGGCGGCGCACCGAATAAAATTTAGGTGTAAATGCACCGCTGAGGAGTGGTTCGGGTAGACGATCGCATGTCAAACTATCACAAGCACTGTGTCGCATGTAAAAAATCGGCGGCATCAGGTTCACATGGAATAAATATCGTACTGGCAGAACATCGCATGGAAAAACGACCGCACATATAGATTGCATGACGATGTTATGCACGTGATAAATGTCTTACCAGATAAAGACCGTAATGGCAGCAGATCGTATGAGATCAAGATCGCATGTCGAAAGATCCTAGATGGTGAAGACCGTGCGATATAAAGGTCGCAATGACGGAGTTCGTACAGAACAAGGATAGCGGGCGACAAGGAGCAGATCGGTGACGTTGCTTGTTAAGTACAACTTAGCAGGAAGGCACAGTTACAGCTGGGGCCAGACCGGTAAACGACGGCGGCTTTAACGCCACCACTATAGGACGCGGTTGAACGGGCGCCCAGCCGGCAGTCCGCGCCAACGTGTAATGCAACTGAGACCAAACATTCGACTTTATTGTTTGACACCTCTGCTCCGGAGACACCCTCCCAGTGGAGAAACCTTGGCAGCAATCAAGCGGGATACAGATTTTGAAGCGTATGCAGATTTTATGGGTTTTTACAACGCGCAGTAAACGTACGGGTTTGTTGATGCTGGTTTCCTCGATACAAAAAGAGACACCGGTCAATGGATCTCATGTGGCGATTGTGGCTTGCAGCGGCTTTGCGACTGGACACTGGATTTGCCGGATAGTGCCCATACATCCGGCACCATAGCTGTTCATAACCGACGGCTATATAGCATCGGTTTCACATACAATGTTTTGCTTGTCACCTTTTGCATCACGAACTGTATCTCTGGTGATCTTTCTTCAGACGGACTTCATTCCCCGATCTTTTGACAACCAGATTTCTCCTGTGGCCTTACACTGTGCTCTGTTGCAATGCGCTACATATAAGTGGCTGCCTTTTCATAACAATTTTATCCCACACCATCTTTCGCTTACCCCATTTTTGTCATACGATCACTTGGGTATGTTCGTTTTTGAGACCCCTGCGTACGATTTCGTTACACCATCTTTCACTCTGTAATCGGACCAAGCCCATCTAGCGGAGAGAGTGAGAGAGAGGGAGAGGGAGAGAGGCAAAGAGGGGGAGACTGAAAGAGAAAGGGAGAGAGAGAGGGGGAGAGGGAGAGGGAGAGGAGGAGAGGGAGAGAGAGAGGTAGGGAGAGGGAGAGGGAGGGAGGGAGGGGGAGGGGAAAAGGGAGAGGGAGAGGGGAGGAAGAGGGGGAGGGGGGGAAGGAGAGGGAGGGGGAGAGGGAGAGGGAGGGGGGGGAGAGGGAGAGGGAGATAGAGGGAGAGGGAGAGGAAAGGGGGAGGGAGAGGGATCTGTGCACCAGGCCAATGTTCCTTAGGAGCAAATACGTCCAATGGAGCTTTTGACACAGCGAACGTATTCAGCCAATGGCGTCACACAATCCACAATTCCATCACACAATGCCATCACACAATTACTTAAAAAATGTTGGTACTCTTGCTGGTGTCCGAGCAGTCCGTGTCAGCGGAAGCACAGCTCTTGCTTTTGTTCGCTACAGGCAGGTATTTTCGTGTCCATTTATGTAGTAATATCATTCAAGATTAATTACAGCATTATTGCGATAACTCAGCACCTGCTTGTTGACGCTGCCTGCACAGCCATCTCTCTTGACTCAGACATTATTTGGTTACATCACGATGCCCTCTCCCTTTGCTCTCCGAGACCCTCAGATATCTTTGGGACTTTCCCCCGGCTCAGGGTGCCTGCGCTAGGCCCTGTGGGAAATAAGCGGTCAGCCCGTTAAGCACAACGTTCGGGGAGCGCAGTGCAACGGCTGATGATGCCGGGAAAAACAGAGCTTGGAACTGCGTTGCGCATTACGCGACAACTTAATGCCGACGTGCCAGCGGACACCGGCATTCATTAGCGTCAGCAGTGTCCTGACACCAACTGACTGTTTTTGCCCGGCAGACCGCTTTTCAGTATTCAAAAACATTCATCCCTAACTAACTGCAACACAACGGTGTTGTTGCTGAATATTGTTGGTAGGTGACAAATGCAGCTGGAGCTCATTATGTGCTGTATAATGTACGCACATGCACTAACTGACCATGCGACGTCAGTGGCGGCCAAAAGGCCTGCATCAGCGGACGTCATGGCTGCACACGAGCCTTCTAGAATCCCTTTGCCCAATCCACCCGTCATCTACGCGCCTGTGGCCATATCCAGCACTTTCCATTTTTGATCAATGGTGGGCATCCTTTGCCGGGCCGTTAGCATTTTCCAGCACTTTCGGTCAAACTGTTGGATGGGTGTCAGGGAAGTTAATGCCAAAACTTACTCTTTTGTGTTGAACAACGAAAGACAAAGTGAAATTGAAAGTAGTGTAAATGAAACCAATTACGACTAAAAGAAGCACAGACATTAGCATTATGCTTCTTTCACTCAAATGGGCAGTAGCATTGATTAATGCTCCTTGAAGTATCTACTAGACATTCCATAAACCTCTTACCCAGGAGGTGGAAAAAAACTTTTGATTTGCCGGATATGATCGGTGACAAAAACGGGCATCACATTACAAGAGACCATCGCAGTTAGACGAAACTCAAAGCTAAGTATTGGTTTATACTCGCCAATGCTTGCAGTGTGAGCTTGTGCAAGGCACACGTCGAAACGTTGACAAGTATGACATGCATCTCACTGTATGAGCAGATTCAGTCGCAAGATGCTGCCAAACATAGTAGCTTTAATCAGGATAGTTTTAGCAGGGGACAGAAATATACTACAAATTACATTATATCAGTGCTGAGGTCACAGGTCAGTGGTGACACAGTTCTTTTCCAATCCCCTCAGATCAATGCTTTTCACAGATTTTTCAGCTAAGATTCACTTTACATACTAAACAGTGCAAAACGCCAAACAACTAGCCTCGTTACTAGTCGTAACACCTGTGGCTAGCCACAGTATCTTGCGACGGACGCGATCAGTTTGTTTTTTTACGCAGCGTTTTAAAGCGTCGTGCCAGTTGAGACAGATGGGCTCGAGCGCTGCCACGCGGTGATGGCTTGTGTTCAGTGTGCGTTCGGTGCAAGGCTGTTAGGCTGCCGTTGGTTGTGTTCAAGTCGTGAGAAGCTGAATGACTTAAAGAACGTAGCCAATCGTCAGTTGTGTGTGTGTGTGTTTTCTGTAGGAGCTGTGCGGATTTTCTAAAAATATATCGTGGACGGCGTCCCTGGTATTAGCGTTAAAAAGCCCTGCCGATATAAGAGGCTTTTTGTTTGTGCATAGCAAGCTGTACAATGCAGATAGTAGTAGATAGTAGATAGAAGATAGTATACTGTAGGTCCCAAGGTCAACGGAGGACATTGAAGCGACACATGCCAAGGATTCATCAGGGGCGTACTGCTGCAGAGAGGAACAGCGGTTTTGAGATGAGACGCTGATTGCTGAGCATCGCTGGTGCAGGCCCCACACTGCCGGCCACATCCCAGACTTAGGCTCTGACCGGCGGACAGGCGTGAGATGAAACGCTTCCTACTGACATTGTATCGTATACAGTGCTAAATGAAGGTAGTAGAGGCGTATACCAATGACTTTTGCATCTGCTGATACCAGAATTGCTTGGACTTCTTACCAAATTCCGTTGACTGGGACCATGCTAGGCAGTGCGAGTCATGCGCCGGAAATGATTAAGTGAAGGAAGTGAAGGTTGCCAACACTTCCAGCTGATTGTGCGATAGCGTCACAAAACCAAGAGTGATATTGTTCGCAGGTGCTTGTAGATCCATGCTGTTGGTAAATGTAGGGCTACAGGGATGCAGTTTTGCAAAATACATGGGGATGAGGAAGGGAAGGGGCACGAAAAATGGCTGAGCCTGCTTCCGAAATGCACTTCAAACAGTTTTCTCCCCGGGTTTGACACACTCTCTTTTGAGAGCTTGAAAGGAGGTCGTGGTGTCTCAAAATTACTTTGGGGAGGGCTGAACCTTAAAAATGATGATTAATGGAAAATCAGGAATACAAATAATAAAGACAAATAGGCAACTTCATTCCTGGACAGGAGGCACAACCCTCCCCTCCCCTCCCCCCCCCCCCCCCCAACTGAATAGGAAACTACGCGCCTCTAGACTGGTAATGTTAAGTATATCTCTATCCGACAATTTTATAAATCTAGTCTAAGCCATCATTCAGTGTTTGACGGCCAGCAGATAATACTTCGTGCAAATGGACTCCCGAGCCAAAAATGTTTGATGGTTATGCCGCATTGCATTTCAGTTGTCTTTTGTGTGGTTCATCGCATTTAGAGTTATAATGCAACAGTTTGGGACACAGGTAAAACGGTTCAAAATGCCATCAATGACGGAAAAGGCACTTTTCTTACACCTACTCTCACCCATACCAGTATCCGCACAGGTCATTTTCCCTGAATCTGCGCCCAATCCAACCCGTTACCCATTCCATATGGAAACTTTTACTTTTAACCAACCTGTGAAGTCCTTCAATCACAGCAAATAACTGATGATGAAAGTCATACCATGGCGAATTCCTCTCACAGATTTATCCACAGATCAAACAAACAAATGCTGGGGGTGGCGACAAAAGGCAATGAGCGCAGAGGAGAGTATTTTAGGACCATATTTCATGCACTGCACAGCATATGGACTTCCCATGCAAACCGAGCCAAACCCAACATGAACGAAGAACCCAACCCCTCGGCGGCGCCCGTGCACCGCTCCCACCGTTCGCGGAGCACCGCTCTGCGGGCGGCTCTGCCGAGAAGCCGGGCTCGGCTCACAGCTCCCACCGTCCGCTGAGCGCAACTCTGCTGGCGGGTCTGCCGAGCAGCCGGGCTCGGCTCACCGCTCCCACCGTTCGCTGAGCGCCGCTCTGCGGGCGGGTCTGCCGAGCAGCCGGGCTCGGCTCACCGCTCCCACCGTTCGCTGAGCGCCGCTTTGCGGGCGGCTCTGCCGAGAAGCCGGGCTCGGCTCACAGCTCCCGCCGTTCGCTGAGCGTCGCTCTGCGGGCGGCTCTGTCGAGAAGTCGGGCTCGGCTCACCGCTCCCACTTTCGCTGAGCGCCGTATTGCGGGCGGCTCTGCCGAGCAGCCGGGCTCGGCTCACCGCTCCCGCCGTTCGCTGAGCGCCGCTCTGCGGGCGGCTCTGCCGAGCAGCCGGGCTCGGCCCACAGCTCCCGCCGCTCGCTGAGCGCCGCTCCAGCTGGGCGGGCGGCCCCGCCGAGCAGCCGGGCTCGGCTTACTCACCGGGGCATCTTGAGGCCGACGACGCCGGCCGCCGCCGGACCAGTATGCACGCCGATCCTCAGCTGCAGCTTGTACGTCGGACGGTGCGGCACGCGAAACTGTGGCCAGGTGACGTCCGTCACACGAGAGAGGTGGCTGCCGTGCCGAACGGTCGTCGCATGGGCATGCGTGGGTGGTGCGTGCCGCTCTCACCGATGCGTTTGAAAGGAGTGTTCCACATTTGAGGACGTTGAAGCAAGCATCAGACATGATGGAATAATCGCACTTGTAACTATTGGTGTGCTTTAACAGGAGAAGACTCCTCTAGACAATAGAATCTCTCTGCTTAGTGAATATGCTCCTCATTACATCATAGTTTGATTACGTCATGGTGCCTGGCAGAACATCGATTGGGAGTCAATTGACGGCCGTTATGTCTGGAAATCGTGCTGGCGAACGTCAGATATGAGCGCCTCAATAATTATATCGGTGTTGGCCTCGATCGCCTTGACTAATGGAATAGCTGGCTTTAGATGGCGTTATTATTGCGTCATGGATCCCTGCATGACCTTGAAATAGTCTCGCCGAAATAGTCTGCATATCTTCCCAGGCGTCTAGCTCAGAAACTAGAGCGATTTAGGTCTTAAGAGGGCCAGGGCTGTGAAATGTACCGATGATCTGCAAGACAGCTATTTCAGTCCAAAACCCCATCGACATGTTGTACACTCCCTTTAACGGGGGGGATGGGGGCAGAAGCTGGGAAGCTCGACGGGCCGGGACGACAAAATTTGGACAAGCTAAACGGCAAGTCCTACAGTGGTGCACAGAAATGATAGATCACGCTGACTCTGACTCCCAATGCTGGACAAGGTCTCACGTCTATGTTGGAAAAGTGCGCAGACCTTCCGATATAGACAAGACCCGCTCCAATGCGAAACATTTGAGCAGGTGTGGGTGGCGGCGCACTCAGATGTTGGAGTGCGCTGCATTCGTATTGCAGACGATGGTGACGAATTAGGATTTTGTAGGTCATAAAGGTGCTGAAACAACTGCCTACTTTAATAGCACGAACCCAGTCCGCGCAATAGCATTGTTTCTAGTCACAAAATCAAATCAAATTGACACGATATTAAGACCAGGCCAAGACACACCATACTGAAAGCACCGAAGCCGGTGGGGAGGTAGACGCTGGGTCAGAGTTACTTTTCACTACCGCTGACAGTTGTGCAGCTGATAAGTGTTTCAGTAAACAATAGCTGTTATTAGCAATTACCTTTTTAATAGCCTCCAGTAGCGCGATGGACATGAGCGCGATCTGCTGCCCGTGCAGGTTGCCGTTTCGGACTGGCAATCCTGCGTCGAGAAATCGCATTAGTCGCATCAAAAGAGATGTGTTATCTATCGGGGCATGCATTTGCTGACATTATGCGGCAGTAAGGACGGGGACTAGTAGAGACTTTTTGGCGGCAGGGTGGGTTGCAGGGGAGGAAAGAGCTCTAAATGCTTAATACGTAGCATCATTATTTATCTATTCGGCCACATTCCCCTTCACTCCCCTAAGAGCTTCAACTAAAGGATACTAAAGCAGGTCTTAACGAGGTCTTTCATTGGACGTTTTGCCACCAATAGATTCATCACTTCAGAAAACACCTCTTAAAAGCCTTAAGTGTCTGGCTTTGTAATTTTGTTTATTTTTGTCAGGATGTAGCTTGCAATGGGTCAACTAATAGCATTGCCTTCTCTGTTCTTCGCCCACGCATTTGAGGAGATGGCCCGAGGCTCGATCCACTACAACATGACGGCAACATATATAAACAAAGCAGAATAAGGCTCCAGATATCCCCAGGTCATCTCCACGACCAGCTTACCCGAGACCACCATGTACGCGTCACCAATGGTCTCCACCTTGTACACGTCGTAGTTGGATATTATCTGGTCAAACACCGTGTAAAGGCTGTTCAGCATGTCCACGATCTGAAATGAAGAGAGAGAACTTTCAAATGAGGAGAAAGGATCGCACATGAAGGCACCCACGGCATTATAAGCTCGTGTAAATGCTTTATCGTCACGGCCAGTCTACAGCATTCCGACTCAGTGCTACGTCTTCACGTGTTCAATCGCATACCACTTTGACTGCTTCCAACAAATGAGAACACAGAGCTCAGATCTCCGCAGCTGCAGTTATTCTCTTACATCTTGAATTGCTACAACGACGTGGGTCTCGAGTTCTGACCAGCCTTGGCCTGGAGACCATCCCTAGACGATTTCTGCAGACCATTTCTTGTATTTGATTTACGTTATCGGGCCGCCGGCCGGCGGCGTTTAGACAAACACGTGTCACTATTTTACCTCGATGCACCACATGTTCTGTTCTCAAAGCGACAGACCACGGCGCCAGCCAGACACCTCTTATCTCTCCCTTCACTTATGGTCTTCGAAATTCGAAGCCCCTCCCCACCCTAACCCCACCCCGCCGCGACCCGCGGTGACCTCGAGTGGCGTGCTGCTCGCCGAGAGCGCGGTGAATTCGACGATGTCGGAGAAGTAGATGGAGACGGACTCGAAGTTCTCGGGCCGCACCTGGTGGCCTCGCTTCAGCTGCTCGGCGATGTACCTGGTCAGCAGGGCGGCGCACAAGTGAGGTGACTTGTCACAGCGAGAGCACGCGGCTGCGGCGGTGGAATGTGCGCGGCGCAGCCCTCCCGGCCAGTTGGCGAGCCAGTCGGACGTGCTTATGGTGTTGGCATCAGCGGTGACGAGATTGGGATGGAATGTGGACGAAGCGTGCTTTGGAAAAGGCTTCAACGTTCCAGAGAGGCGAGTGCCATTCGCTCCTCAAATCAGCAGTGCCGCTCCCTGGATGTAGCTACAGAAGCGCGTCCAAGCGTGACCGTTCCCGACTCGGTTCCGAGGGTCAGGCTGTTGGGGGTCGCCGGGCCACGAGTCGTCGTATTGTCGGTCGAAAGCTCCACCATTCATTCCGAATGGAGCCGCGAACCACTTGCGATAACGCACAAGTCCATCCGCCAATTTCATTTAACCCAAGAACTAACTGGTCTAGGAGAGCAAATAAAGAAACCCAACAAACAGTCAGCTAACCAACCAAATAACCAAGCAGTCAACCAACCGAAAAACCTGCAAGGCGACCAACCAACGGACCAGTCGACCAACCGACAGGCAGCCAGGTCACCGAAGAATCATCCACCCACCTGGGAAGCACTTGGTACAGCAGTTCCTCAGAGCGGCCCTTCTCCTCGAGAAAAGCGGCCGACTTCTCTACCACCAGCTCCTCTAGGTTGTTGGCATAGCGCTCCATGCGTTGCAGCAGGTCGTCCACCACACTCGAGCTGGTCCTGCAGGAGAGCCATCAAATGACGTGACGGGACGGGTCGCGCCGCGAACAGCCTGCACGAGGCAGCAAATTGGAGGGAGATGTCAGAGAGCAGATATGTTTGGAAATGTAAATATGCTTTGAGGTAAAATGACGAAGGCGCCACGCGAGTGCAATCCTTCCTGCTTTAAGGAAGTTGCTAAAATGCGGAGCATCCTCAAACAATCTTCTCCTTGTCTAAAGGATTGTGAGAACATAGCATGTTGCTGAGGCAAAAATCCGGCCGCCTTATGGCCAGTCTAAAGCCTCAACAGCAGCTGACGGCACGGCGAAGTGCCTACGTGACGATCCTGCTCAGCTGGCGCCGGAGGTCGGCGGAGCGCGGCCGCTCGCTGGGGTTCTCCGCCCAGCAGAGGCGCATCATCTCGAACAGGACGTCGTCGCAGTCGTCGCGGGAAACGTCCGGCCGGTACGGCGGCGTCGTGCCGGCGCGCACCCACTGCAGGATCTCGGACACGCCTGCCGGAGAGCCGACGCCGTTCAACCGGCCGGCAGTCGGCCGCGGTCGTGCTCCGTCCCGGCCAAGGGTCGGAGCAGGAGCGGAGCCAGCGTCGGCCGATGGAGGTATGGGTCGTCTGTCATCGAGTGAGGTTTCATGGCATTTTTCTGGAGGCAGATGATTATGTGATGGAGACCGGAGCTTCCCGAAATATAGAAGATAATTGTTGTTTTCAGCCACTCCGCTACTTAGGAAGGATGTTTGAATGTTTTGCTGCGACACATTCAATGTGCCGGAGTAAAACTGAGAGCAGGAGGGGAGGAGCGGAGGGGGCAAGCCCCGTACGGAGACATACAAGGCGCCATCCCCCCCCCCCCCCCCCAGCTCCGAACAGCAGTTAAATTTATTTCTGGTTGCTGCATGCTAACAGTTGCAAGGAATACTTCATGTCTACACTGCAAGAACCTGGTAAGAAGACGTGATCCTCCCCCCCCCCAAAAAAAAATACGAGCACCCAGCAGCCAGTTTTGGAACGCCAGTCCGTTCGATTTTTTGCAGATTGCACGAGCCCCAATGCTCCCCTTGACACGAGCTTCATGAGCATAATTGCTTTGCTAGTATCGGTATACTATCGCCATTTGCTTTCCGCATTTGATTTACGTCCAGGTGGCCCTTTTTCGTCAACCTGCGGCCTGACCTGATTCTGTTTTTTTTCGTGACGAGCTTGCCCTGGCCTGAACCTGAGCTTCTGCAACAGCCCTACGAGCTAGCCTGTTAAGAAAAACAGTGGGTCGCAACATACAAGCCGCTCCTGTATTGCTTGTAAGCCTAGATTGATTACAATTGAAGATTTTGCACCAGGTTTAAAGGGGTGTCGATATCGAATGAATTAAGGAGCAAATCTTATCCTCCAAGACGTCATCGACATTGCCAAATAGGCGAAAGCAAATTCGGCTCTGCCCAATGTTTAGAGACCTTTTGTAATTGGTTTTTATCCCAACCTAGCCAACCAGGCGGGGAAACAACACACAGCTAGTTCCAAATTGAACAGAGAGCGCCTTACTGAGCTGACGCATGAGATGGTCATGCAGATGTCCGTACGGCAAGGTTCTCGTAGTGATCTCCTGCAGTATGATCCCGAGGGAGTATATGTCGCCAGAGGGCGTGCTGGGTCGACTGAAGTCACGCAGGTACTCCGGTGCCGTCCACAGCAGGTGATCTGGAAAGGCACGCGCTAGGTATATGTGGGGCGTCACCGAGTCCTCAGACACCGTTAGATGACAGATACTCAAAATTGTGAGGAGATCTCTAGCAGCAGATGCGCCAAATTGTGTTGTCTAAATAATCCGTCACGTGCATGATAAATACGAAAAAGAATAAGCTTAGGTATGTCTAAGACAAATCGAGAGCAGATTACAACGACAATGTGCCGGAGTATTTTCCTCCCTAAATTATACATTTAAGAGTAATCTCAACATGTAAACGTTCGTATCTTTTTTGACTTAAATGCGGACAAACCAACTCCCACCCGCCCCAAAAGAGAAGTTTCGGCGTATGGCCATAATTTAGTCAGAACCAAGGCTGCTGGAGAAGTATACGGGGACGTGACATCACCATGGGACTGAAGTTTCGTAGCCCGCGGTGTGGTTTTTGGTTGATACTACGCAAAGGTTAGTAGATACCAGCAACGTGATAACGAACGGATATTTCCTCAATGAACTGGGCAGCAGTTCTGTTCTACGTCTTCATTTTAATGTTGTGTTAATAGATACTGAACGTTTTGCGTTTTAACCTTCCAGAGACAAATCAGTACTACGATCTACTACCAAAGATAGATCCTACTAAACAACTTTTTCTAGGTCCAATACCCGCGCCATATGCGCCATAGTTGACGTACCTGAACATTTGTGTGCAATGCCTCTTTGGGAAATTAACATTTATTTTGAAAATGAATATGATGTATAACTTTTACATTAAATTAATAAATGGACAAAAATTGTCCATTCATCGTGGTACTGTGGCACCTATATGGAGCGAAATGTAAAAATATGGTAATGTGAGGAAGTCAGGTGCCAAAAATTTCGCTGTTACTTTACCATGACCTTCCTAGTCGTTGGTTAACTTGCATATCCATAAAGTCGGATGGGCTAGGTGAAAAGGAACGCAGGTAATAATACCCCGACCACTCTTACATATCCTCAAGACTATTTCCAGCTGAGATATGGGCCACCACTATTTGAATGGCAGAAACTGTAAAACTTGCCAGAAACCGTCCCATTTTATAGGAAAATTTGCTATCTTGAACTGAGACGGCGCGCTCTGCATTTACGACTCCCGGGTTCACCCTTCACTGTCCCCATTAGGATAAGTCAACCCTGCATCCACTCTGGCAACGCCCCTCCTGAGGCTATAGTATGTGCATTCAAATTATGAATACTCGTCCCAGGGTGCTGCAAACCCGTCTGGGCCGCCGTCTCTCATCTCCGCCCCATGCTGTTGTTGTTACATGTTGAACCCTTTTACACAGACTGTTTCCTAAGCACTTCCGGCTACCGTTCCTTGGAATGAATCACTGATAAATAGGTTACCCTATCTCTCTGTCGGGTGCAGGCTGGAACCACATTTCAGGAAGAATTTTGTAGCTCTGGTGCAAACCAACGCCATTTCCCAGCTGAAAATTCTTTATTGAATGTCCTAGGTCGAAAAAATCCGGTTTATCGAAATATTCATAGGTAAGTTGGCCTACTAAAAACAGCATTTTCACGCCGCCGTAACATTGGTGCCATATCATTTTGTCCGAGCATGACGTCACAGCGTCGCTTACCCAGAATGCAGTAATGCGGAGGCTTGTCAGCACTATATCCGGTATTTTTTTACGGCACCACTCTCATAATCACATGTGCATAGGATCCCTTCAGAACTTGGTTCAGGAGATGCGCCGACGCTGGGCGCCAAGCGCCGACGCGCTAGGAGATGCCATCACAGCACCTTATCTGATTGCTGGTCGTATATATCAAAGTAACACAGAGCTTTCGAACCCCTGTTGACTTCGGGTGCTCGCCTTGTTATTGTTTCATCGACGAATATTAGACGCGTGAATGTGACTTCGTTGGTGGCAGCTGTCCTAACATTTTGAGGATACATTCCCATCCATTCTCCAAGAGCCCCGTCAAGGTATTTTGGACCAGCGACCCTACTAAAGTCCCTTGGTTCGTTCGGCTATGACACAGTCACCATGTCTGTCGGGTCGGCAAACATGTCGCACGTCCAACTGAGGACTGCCGGGTGAATGAGTGCTCAGGAATGTCATACACAAAATCTGGGTGGCCTATGCGAAACAGACCCGCGGATCCAGTTTTACGCAAGCGAGAGCGAGCGTCCCATAAGATGATATAAGATCTGTCGGTGCCTAAACAGAGGGAAGTGAGGTCGTGAAACCAATGCAGGCGTAAGGCCTCATTGACTGCGACTGATACCCACCCACAATATTTGCGTTTTTAGGATACCTTAGCCACAACCACTCAAAACTCAAATCATTGCAAAACGTCAGGTTTCTTCCGTGCAAAATACAGGTTACCGGCCTGCCACGGGGCAACCACTCCCGGGTTTGGGTGCTTCTGCTCGCAGTCCCACCTTGCAGATTCTCCAAGCGTGTCAGTTGAGACATCCCGATAGCCCGGGGCCACAGGTATACGCGCCCAAAACAGCTCGACCGCGACGAAAGTGCGCCGAGAACAGGGACGGGCACAGGTTTGGGGATGTCTGTACGTTTCTGTCTAGACTGCGGAGGGTCACGAGCTCCGGAACACGAGACGTGACTTCACCGTTTCTCGCGAGTGCCATATGATGCGTTGGTAGGAGATTGAGCTAAAACCGCCCAATTTAGGACACGGTAGATCAACGTTTTACGGGATTTCATTACATCGGCGTATGCAGGAGCCTCAATCGGGAATGCAACAAAAATATTTTACCGTACACCAACCATGGCGCGCCGCAAGCGCGCGCATTTAGTTCCTTCTGCGTCGTAAAATAACATGACACATTCCCAATCCTCTGATCTTTAGGGTCTACCTGGAACTCTTAACTATAACATTATATCACGCACAAATTAATAGATGACAAATTTTGTAGAGGAGGAATTGTGGTCATTACTGTACATCACCGCACAAGAACCTCCGCGTGCGAACGTTTGCTCATGAACGCTACGTGATTGTAGTTCGGGTTTAGTTCAGCCAGCAGACGTGACGGCTCCTCTGTGGTTAGCGCACTCAGTGCACTCAGCAGCGTGCTCGGCTAGACAAAAGTTGGTGCAAAATTGTTGCTTGATTTTAAGCTGCAATTCGGGGGTTAACACTGTTTTACAGGACAAGGCGACGGCTGAAGGCTTATCAATCTTCGTGGCAAATGGCGTATTACGCCGAACGACGAACGTACGTACGAACCATTGTTACCCCAATGGTGTGAGTCGAAGTCTTCATATTTGGCTCACGTAACCGGGCTTACCAAACTGCAGCCTGAGTTAAGGCACTTGACGGAAGATATTGCACATTTGCAGGCCGCGTTTTTCAGGCGGTTCAGTGACACTGCAGGGGTCAGTGGTGAACGCAAGCGGGCAGCACTACATAACTCGTATGCTTGCGGTCGGTGTGCAGCGATGCGTAAGTGGGGGGATCTTTCAATGCAGGCTGCCAGGCGGGCCAGCACAACTACAGTTCCCATTGAATGAGGCTGGCAGATCTCCATTGTACCACTTAGGCATGTCATAAGCAGAGGAGCAGGCCAGGATTTTTTTAAAAAAATGGGAGCTCAATGGGAATTTGTCATGATAAATCATCAGTGTCGCAGATTCTAACTGCTTGGATTGAGGAGATGCCTGAATGATGATGAAGGTGTGTGGTCTAACTTTAAGGTATCCACTGATTGTCACACGTCTGTCAGGAGTAATATGTGCTGAGCATATGAGCAAACCTTGTTATTGTCGCACGCACCATGAGGCTTTCACGATCATGCCTAAAACAATTAGCAACAAGAACCAGGAACAGTTTTTTGCTGTGTGTGCGTGGTGGGCGGCCAGTTAGGCAATACAACCACGACACTGTTACGAGCATACACCGCGAGCGTGAAAACACATGCCGTCATGCAAATCCTGAAAAAGCAGCTGAAACGCTATGGAGCACTGCACCCGCCCCTAGTCCTCAAAACCACGTGCAACTCGCCATCTTCCGGACGATACACTACATAAAGGTGCCAATGGCAAGTATCACTGTTAGCCGTCATGAGGGTGGTGACGTCGGGCGCCACTCCGACGTGCCAAGCTGACTGTTCGAAACACATTACGTCTGACTGTCGTCGGCCTAGTTATTCGTGAAACTATCAAACGCCTGGGTCCTCGGTGCTTGTTTACGATGTATTCTCCAGGAAATGAGCTATGCTATATCACAAATCGTTTTAGGGATCCCCAAGTAGCTCCTGTACGCCTTTCCTGGAAAAACGGATCGCTCCAGTTCGTGTGCTCAATAACGAAATGAGCGAAAAACGCAAAAACATATGGCCGTGGTCATTCCTTTTGGTCCGATTTACCAACCACTTAGGCCTTAGGATGCTGCGTCGATAGATTGTTAGTTTTTTGTTCAGCTATCCCCAGTCGATCACAGGATCGGGGGGTTTAAGCGACGAACTCATTTTAATAATTGCATGGCTTGACGTACTTGCTTTTTCTGTGTTCACTGAGCGTCCAATCCCTTTTGGTTCGAAAATAGCCGCACGAGCGACGACATCATGTTTTCAAACTACACAAACTTTGCACATTTCCTCGCTCTTACCCAGTTCATTTTTGGTCGATTCATTTCAACCCCTTAGGAAATCACGCCGAGGTGAACAATCTGATGTTTTAAAAAGGAGGGTACAAGACAGCCGTTTTTCCACAAATTTCTCTCATTTTCCCATATTCAATATTGATATTGCATCGTTCTCCTACGCCATCGTTCTCCTACGCCATCGTTCTCCTACGCCATCGTTCTCCTACGCCATCGTGTAGCTGGTTCGACTGCCTCGTGCGGCGTGGACGCAATGGAAATTGACACGATTTTACTGAGCGTGAGCGTACATGCGCCATAGCATATTTTTTACAAAGTCCTTTTTCATTCATAAAACGCGCTTTCTGTATTGCATTGGTCAGCAGTGTTTTCGTGATATGATCGTGCGTTTCCACTTGCCAACAGCCCTGTGATTTAGACCTCAGCGACATGCATTCCAAGCGGAATTTCCCGGCATCTTTCGGTCGGTTATTGGCTCTTCCTCGGGATGAGTAGCACTGAATTTGATACATTCCGGACGATAGACCAATCTGCCACAATATGCAATCAATTTCAGTGTCGTATTGTCTGACCACCGACGTCCGACACATATCTGGAATGCCGGTGAGAGCCGGTAAATCTATAGCTAGCGTTACCGAATGAGTGGCCTACCGCGCCCAAACAGGGGCTTGAACGGCATATTGTACAATCGCATCAAAGCAATACCACTGTGCGAGGTGTCCTCATTAAAACTGCTATTCCCACTACCTCACCGCAGCAAAGCCGTGGTGATAACACATCACACAAGCTTACCCAAAGTAAAGCACATGACAACCTGATGGTCTACGAAAAATCCAGTTCTGCAGTTCGCATAGCTATTGTTAAGTACTCGAAAAGTGCCGCATGAAGTATGTGCAATGCCTATGTAGATTCCGATCTCGACGTTCCCAGTTTGACAGCATTGCGGGCACACAATGTTTTCCATGTGTATTCTCCATGTACTTCCCCTCATTTCAGTCGTCCCAGCGATCATTTGAAATTTCCTTTGAAGCGCACACGGGCCAGAGCCAGCCCGCCGGCTGTGGTTCATCAAAACCAAACATAAAAATACTAAACAACATGGGGCGACGACACATGCGGACACGGAATCAGATGAGATATCACATCCACGTGTGATTTAATATCGTTACACCAGGTATAGACCTGAAATGGTGTGTAAATAATATAGCCAGCCCATCCACTTTTGCCGCCTGTGGGGCACAAGTAGCCAATGCGGTTCAAGCGCCAATAAACTCAATAACTAAGTTACCGCCTGCGAGAGGAACGATGGTAAAACTCTGACGGGCCTAACGCACGCACACAATTGAGCCCTTCGTAATTTTTGGTTTATTAACGCTGACACTCGTAATCTTTGGTCGCGTGAATTTGAACCTATCTTAGCGTCTTCGCTGTACCTTTTTCAGTTTGACCGTATTCTCTTGACATACGTCAATGCGCTCATGCATTACGCCATTACGATAGCGGCAACACCCGCAGACGCTGACCTGGGGTTCGGATGCGCGGCTCCTGCCTGCGGACGCCCCTCATGCCGAAGCCGGTCAGCTTGATGGTGAACCTGCCGTCCAGCAGGCAGGCGCTGGAGGTCAGCGCGCCGTGGTAGCCGACCTGCCGCGCAGACAGCGGGTCACAGCACACTCCAAGAGGGCGTGAAGCACAGGGAACGTGACAAACTCAGCCCACTCTGCGTCATCAAAAGACTCGCGCTCAACACCTGCCGTGCAAGTGCTCAGCTTGGATGTGGTGAGCCCGCTCGCCAACGTACCAAGACTTGAAACCATAACCATGTTGCCGGACAAGCTGGAGAGCAAAATATGCTACTGGAGAGAACAAGAATTAAATCAACAGCATTATTGATCGGCCCACGTTCTGTGTTGTTTCAAATAGACGAACCTTGCTACCAGCGAACCGAAGAAATAGCCAACAGATTCATTCAGTTCCACGAATGCCAACATCTTCATCGAAAGTTTCGAAGAGATAACGATCAAAATGGTACCCCTCCAACCATCACTGAAGGGGCGATGCTTCGACGACGCATTCGTCATTCCGACACAATTCCGCCCATTCCGTCATTGCGCACACATATACAATTATTCCGTAAAGCTCTCCGCGAAAATTACTGTTTCAAATGAGAGCATGCAAGCCTTGAGGGACAATTCGAGACATAATGCGGCTTTCTAGTCAGGATCGAACATTTCCCAATCCCAAAGCTTTAAAATATAATGTCCCGGAGATAAAAATTAGTCCGGCGACTGCTAATGAGATAAAGTGCAAGCAAGATACCGTCATAATCCATTTTTACAACTGCCGCGGTGATGTATGAATCATGTGTGCCGTCTACAGGCTGTGCCCCGTTTCACACCTTCCACGGTTCCCACCAGTTTAAGGTGCTGCTGATGTGGTTTTGGCTGATTTTGAGGTGCCGCCGCTGATTTCCCACTTCATGTGGGAAATGAAGACAACTATACCGCCATACCTTGTTTGAAGTAAAGGTATGCCTTTCCTGCCATAATGACACAATTATACGAACATACATCGTGCCGTGACATGTGCCGTGATCAGACTCCGTAACAGTCTTCAGCAACGGTATCAGAGAACGCGGTCGGATAAAATGTACAAACAAGGGAATGCTCAAAATCTGGAGAAATTAAGGCAGTCATTCGATATTACGAATTAATCTCACTTACAGGTAATGGTATACTCTTAAAGGGAGCGTTCCACATTTGTGTAGGGTCTTGAACTGAAAGAGCTATTTGGAGGACCTCTTGATGCATCTCACGGCCATGCGCCTTTTATAACCGGACGCCCCCTGGCTCCTGAGTTCAAAAGCCGGAAACATGTGGGGGAGTTATTTGCGCGTGTGTCTAAAGAGAACCTTGGCATTCGTGACATCATAATAACGCCATTCAAATTGTGCCAGTTCATAAGAGACGCTGTGATCAAGACCAAAAAATGTAATGGTCGAGTCATTCATATCTGGCGTTCTTGAGCACGATTTCCAGATACAACGGTCGTGACCTGCCTTTCAATGTCTTCTGGTATTGTTTCGTTAACGGCATGTTGCCGAAATATCAACCTAACTATATCTCCATTCCCCTAGTTTTTCTCCGAAGAGTTGGGCTAATACTACTGTCTTATCTATGTGAATAATTCCTCGCCTATGCACTGAACAACTTAAATATTCTGCAAGGTACGATGACGTAATCAACCAATGACGTATCTAGGAGCATCTTTGCTAAAAACAGAAATTGTGTGGTCTAGAGCAGTCTTTTTTTCTTAAAGTATGCCAACAGTTATAAGTGAGCTCGTTTCATGATATCTTATGCTTACTTCAATATCTTCACATATAAAACATTCCCAGACCTAAAACCTTTTAGTTTTTGAGCTACACGCCCGCGAATACGTGGAGACGTCTTCGAGGAAACTGTTTCAAGGTCACCAAAGCATTTTTGATACCATAATGACGCCATTAAATCCTGCCATTCAGCTGGCATGCGTCGATGAATGTTAATACAATTAAAATTGTTGAGTCGTTCGCATCTGGTGTTTTTTCAGAACGATGCGTACACACACACACACACACACACACACACACACACACACACACACACACACACACACACACACACACACACACACACACACACACACACATACATACATATATATATATATATATATATATATATATATATATATATATATATATATATATATTCTTAAGAGAGAGCTTGTGTTATCTAGAGCAGTCCATTCCAGATTAAAGCCATACAAAAAGATTAAAGTGAGCTCATTTAATCATATCCGATGCTCGATTCAGCATCTTCAAATGTGGAATATTTTCTCGAAGGGAATGTTTATTCACGTTGATGTTCGTGTTCACGTTGAATGTTCATTCATTTATGTGATCTTTCTTGACCACAGAAAGGTACTACCGACAATCTTATGACTGGCAGATGATGATGAATGGTGCGAACACAATGTTACATTCCTCCACGCTCGAGATGTGCCACTAGTCGCAGCCGTTCATTGGTGGCGCAGCGCAAGAGCTCAGTTCCAGGTGGTTCACGCATCGACCAATGACCACAAGACGCGGCCAAGCTCACCGCAGAGTGGTGCAGGTAATCGAGACCGTTGATGATGTCGAGGACCAAGGACCGCCGCAGCGACCAGTCCAGCTTGAGCGGGCTCTCGCGCAGGAAGCAGCCGAGCGTGCCCTTGGAGCAGAAGTCGGTGACAAAGTACACCCGACCCTCGTGCTGCAGTGCACCGTGCAGGTGCACAAGGTTCTCGCTGACGCACTCGCGCATCTGCCGGACGACGGCCAGGTTATCAGCCCATGACGTCACAGCTCGGCCTGCAGACGCTTCGATGGCAAATTCTAGGCCGTCTCTCCGCCAAACACAAGCCACCAATCGCACGCGTTCTCCGCCAATCAACAGTCAGAACTAGTACTGGATCCGATGCAACCCGCAAATCACATCCCGCAAATTTGAGCCACCGGCGAACTGGCACCTCCAATCCGCAGTGAGCATCGCTGTCATAGTTTTCCCTCGGATAGTTATCTCGACACAAAAATGCGCGAGGATGCGTAGCGCCGCGGGGTGTTGATAGGTTCGTAATGAGTGGGCGTTGGGTTCGATTCTCGGGACGGCGGTGGGCTTTTGTTTGTGTCCACTTTGCACGCTTGCGTCGGCTTTTCTGGAGCAGTTCATGGGCATTTAAGTAAAGTTATAAGATGTTCATGCTGCGCAAAGCTCAGCCATTATCAATTTCATTATACGGTCAGGTGCCGGTCATGATGAGGACTCACGCGGGCATCCGGCCTTTCCGTCAATATCGTCGGCTCTGGACATACGCTCCTTGTATTTAGCCGGGGGCGAAGCCTAGCCGGTATCTACGAGTTGTCCGGATGTGATGTGAACCACGTCGCGTAGAAGGGCCTACCTCGAAACAAAAATAACCGGACTTTAACCACCTTGTTTCGGGTGGCTTGGTGTTCTTTGTTTTACCCTGTACGTGTCTCAAGGTGTAACTGAAATAGAGAACGCAATTCTACCGGTATTTATATGATAGTGCATGCCACATATATGCACCAATAGCAAGTCAGCGGCATTGTTTTCTCCGCCTGGACCTCTAATTATTGGCACGTGGCCGCTGTGGCCTCTCCTCCCCTCCCCCCGCACCAACCCCCACCACTGATTGAGTCAGGGGCGAATCCAGAGAGAGTGGTCACGGGGCCCATGACCCATCGTGGTACCCCGAAGTGGCCCATAGGCTCCGAAGGGGCCCGTAGGTGACCAAAAAGGTGCAGTTTTTTAAGACAAAACACAAAAAAATTGGATTTCCAGGCCACCGAGAAGAGTTGCAAACGAAAGTGAATGGCCCACGAGAAAAGATAAAAATCTTCAACAATGGAAAGGAGTTGTTTATTGGAAATTATAAGCCTTATCACGCTGTCCAGAGCCCTATCCTGTTTCCGGGGACCTATATGCCCACTTGCAAGGTCATTTCGATCGTTAAGGAGCCTTCCACGTTAGCCCTGACTGCTTTGCGTTTGCTCGGAGGGCCCTACACTGTTGCTGTGCTGTTCCTGCTAGCGTGCCGGGCGCTGTTGTCAATCAGAGGCCTTCCACGGATTCTTTCCAGTCGCCAGAAAGGCTCTGTGGGGTATAGCAGGGGACCCCCATGTTAACTTGCTCGGGTATTCTCGGTGGCTCGGGGGCCCTTTACGTTGGTTTCGGCTCGCCTACCGACACACTTGCGATATGCTCATGGGCCCTCCGCATTGGTCTAGGGCGCTTCCAATTTTATGTCACTTGCTTAGGGCGCTATGCTCTTGTCGGGGGCGCATCCGTTAACCATGCTTATGCACACTCTGTCGGTCGGGACCCTCGAAACTGGGTCCAGGGTGCTTTCCATTTGAATGGAGGGCCCTGCACACTTGTCGGGGCCCCATCTGTTAACCTGCTCCGGCACACTGAATTGTTTAGCGGCCGGCACATTGGGTGAATTTAATTTAGGGACCTACGCTCTTGTCAATGCCATCTGATAGCCTGCTCGGATACACTCGATCTTTCGGGGGCCCTCTACATTGGGCTTTGGGGAAGCCCTATTTGAATGGAGGCCCTACGCACCTTGTCTGGGGTCCCCTCTGTTAACTTCTTTGGCCAAAGTGGATTGTCCGGGAGCCCTGCACATTGAGTCTTGGCGTTTGAATTTAGGGCCCTGCGCTCATATCGTGGCCATCTGATAACCTGCTCGGGTACACTCCATCTTTTGGGGGCCCTCCGCACTGGGTTTTGGGCACTTGTTACTTCAATGGAGGGACCTACGCTCTATGCTTTTGTTGCGGCCCCTTCTGATAAGCTGCTCCTGGTGCATCCGATTGTTGGGTGACCTCTACGTCGGGTCTTGGATACTTGCTTTTTGAGTGGAGGTCCTCACGGGGCCCTATCTGTTAACATTCTCAGGCACCCTCGATCATTCGGAGCCCTCTACAACATGCCGTGGGTATTTCACATTTGAATGGATGGCCCTACACTCTTGTCGGCGGCCCCATCTGTTCACCACCTTTGAATTTAGGGCGCTGCACTCCTGTCCGGGGCCGTCCGGTAATCTGCTAGGGTACACTCCATATTTCGGGGGCCCTCTGCACAGGGTTTGGATACTTCTTATTTGAATGGAGGGCTTAACGCTCTTTTCGGGCCTCTTCTGATAAGCTGTTGAGGTGCATTTCATCGTTCGGAGGCCATCTGCATTGGGTATTGAGTGGTTCCTATTTGAATGGAGGGCCCTACGCACTTGTTAGAAGCCCTGTCTGTTAAGACGCTCGGACACACTTTATCTTTCGGGGCCCCTCTTTATTGGGTCTTAGGACTTTCTATTTGAATGGAGGTCCCTGGGCTCTTGACGGGGGCCCGATGTAATAACCTGCTCGGGAACTGGCCACGCGCTCATGTCGCCCCCCCCCCCCCCCCATCTGTCACCTCCTCGGGCACACTCGATAAGGAGCTAAATAACTATCTAGTTAAATATATTGTCTCGAAACATAAGTGCCCGGAGCGCGATGGGTGTCATATATGCATGCATGGGTTTTAAGGGGTTTGCACGTGAAGAAACATGGTTTACCAATTCAAGCGTAAACTGCGCGAAAAACACGGAAAGTGCATGGGCTATGTTGAGAAGTTCATGCATCCTACTCGTTTCATTTGTGGTGAACACCTGCGAGATGCTCAAAACGAAACAGATAATTAAAAGAACTCTTCGGCGACCATCTTTTTGACAGAACACGCTAAGGTTAAAATCCTAGGAAGTACGGACCATTTCCCTTTAGAGCTCAAAGGTATCTTCCAAGTGCGGGACCATCCAGACAGAAAAAATGGTGAATCTATTTTGATAGGAAGTTGGCGACCAGACTTCAGTGTACAGGACTCGTCATGGACGATTATTTGAATGTGACTAGTGTCTTGATGTGTTATGCACGCTGGTTTAAAGTCGCCTTCATGTGGCAGTGTTGTCTGACGCTTGATGCACGATGTCTGTTTAATTGAAATCGTTTGCGTGTAAAAGTGATGCGTGATGCGACGTGCCTGTTAGCTCGAAATCGCTTGCAGAAGTAAATGATGTGTTATGCGTGACGCCTGTTAACTTGAGTTAATTTGCATATACAGGTATTTTTCGCGCATTTTAGTTCTCACACGTCCACTGTATCGCAGAAACGACTGGCAATTGCTCCTTGTTTAATCCCCTGCATGTATGTGGTCTGTAAAAACTGTGGCTAGCTGTTTTTGTTTTAGGAAAAAAAACTCAAACGATCGAGTAAAATCGGCAAAGAAATTTGATGTTGAAATTCTTTTTGATAAACGGATGTAGCCGAAATATCACATTTATCTTTCCAATTTCCTCTTTCTTCTTTGAGAAATAAAGTGATTAATGTTGTTTTACCTACACGCATAATGTTCCTCACAAATGCACTTTACAATTTGCGAAGCGCTGCCATAATGTCGATAATGATGGCGGAATGCCTTCTACATAACAGTTTAAACGTAATATCAATATGTTGTCCGGTCACTAAGGTCAGTCTGGACCAAAGTCATGCCATAACGCCAGGTCAACTTCAGTTACAACTGCGTTGGGAGCTATGGCTAAATGCCTATCCTGTAAATGAATCGTGTGCAGGGTTGATGTGTGGTCGTATATGCAACTCCTGCAACGGGAAGAACGTTCATTGCAATTGTCTAAGGGCGGGACGGCCAGCATCGTCTCGCATAGGATTGTGCCGCCGAAGACTCGTCCTGCGGTAGAGTTTCTCTGTTGCCGGCGCAGTATCACATGCCTGCCGCCGTCAGCAACTACAAAGCCCGCCCCTACAAACTCGAATTCAGTTAGTAGCCTGTGCCGGGGAACTCAGTTGAAATCGCCGGGCGCGACAGGGTCCGATACCTGCCAGTCAAACACGCGATTTCAAACAGCAAAACCAAGGTGATGCATTTGACTCCGTGGACTGGAACATATATCAATATGGTGTTTGGGAGTTGCCCTGTCGCCTACGCCACCTTTTTTCCCTTCTCCTCTCCTTCTTCTTACCTTTCCGCCCACTTCCCCTAATCCTTGAGTTCCCCCCCCCCCGCCGAACTCGCCGAATGTGCACCAGCTTTGGCGCGAGGCAATAACCGGCAGACGAGGTATGCGACGGTGTGTTGAGCCGTATGCTGAAGACTGAAAAACATCGGGCCTGGTAACAGACGCTCACACCCGGTTCCACTCGGTAACAACGGTCACGATCGGCGCCGACGACATTCAGGCTGAAGAGGCTTGGGACTACCAAAGAGAGCGTTCCATTGTTGCTCAGATCCCAGCGACTGATGAAAAGAAACGTACCCCATGAATCAGGAGAAGATGCTACAATCTTCCAGGTCTAGATAAAAGCCTTTGTATCGGCCCAGTACCCGTAAACGGCCTCTTCAGCTTCGAAGGAATGGGTCAAAGTTTTTACCTCCACACTTTTTCGTTGAGTTTTCCGAGAACGCACTTATTACAATTTTTACGTGTTTACTAATTCCCCAAAACATGAAGACATTTGCACTGCACGTTCATATTCATCTCCTGGTGAGTTCATGTCAAGACCAATATTTTGTGGCAACATAACAATGACAGGCATAGCGTCTAACAGAAAGGCGGACACAAATTAATCTGGCTAGCAACCGTAAGCTTTTACATGACTCAAAGTAAGGACACATTGAAACGAAACTTGGCCTGGTTACTACGAGACAGGCTGTACAGAAAGCTCTAGCACTTATTATACATATTTGGGTCATACACAATTATTTGATGTGAGCAATCTCTTTAAAGAAATTGGTCTAATTAGCCCATTTGGAGGGGATTCTATGGCCCTTTAAAACAAATTGAGTTAGTGCCGGAAATATGTGGATCGAGTCGGTAGAACTCCATAAAAATAACTTACTTGTGGCATCCAATGCGGAAACATATTAGTCTGTTGCAATGCATCATTACTAAAACGTACCGATATAACACTAAGCCGTTGAAGACTACGTAATTTTCTCATAAGCTGATGAAGTCAACTGGGATGTACTGCAGCAAGAGCCTTGCTGGACTACCTTTTTCTTAAACAAGTATTGGAAACTGCCTTCGGTCCAAGTATGAACATCACCAGAATATCGGATTTCATCAGCAATAGCGTGGCTCAAAGAGTGCTCTGACTGGCTTGCACAAAAATTGCTCCACTTTATTTTTAAAACGTGTTTTTTAATGGTTATTTTGCTCTTGAATCAGCCGCACGGCTAAAATAAAAGAATAAGGCCACATTCAATTCCCGAAAGTAAGTGGGTGAAATAGTTTTGAGAGCTATCGGGAAAGGACAAAACACGACTAGACAACGCATCCATACAAAGCATTTGCCTGTCCCAATAGCTTATTTGGACTAGGCGCCTATCTTCCGTTCCACCCAGCCGTGCCGGGGTGTGTGCGAGTCGCTTTAGACTATCGCGATTTGCCCCTAACCGAGATGGCTTGTGGCCGGTGGCAGCGGCGGCCGCGCTTAAACTTAGATGACGTCAGAGGGCGGGAGGGGACGGCTCCAAGATTGCGGCATATTAAGTTTTCACAGCGAAATACTGCCGTTGAACTGCATTTTATGATCGTCTAGTTGGCTCATCGCCCTGCTGCCAGCAATGCTTGGCGTGGGCGCTAATCGAAGAAATCCATACACTCAAAATATTTGGGACAGCGCATGCCCAGTGCAATTTGCATTGCAGCCTGTCATGCTGTCATTTCCATCAAAACGTGCTCGTGGTATTACAATTTTCAAAAAGAAAAGGGGAACTCGATGCGTCATATTGCGCGTGGCGTCACGTCTAGCCAATGAAATCTCGGCAGCGACGGTTTGCAGTCGGAGTGTTTTCGATTTCAGTGATGTCATTTCCGTTGCTCTTTTCGATCACGACGCCATTTTCCTTGTTCTATATGCTCCGGGTTGTAACAGTCCGGCAGACAAATTTCATCCAGGCTTAGGAAAAGGCCTATAAGTCTAGCCCTATTTTTCTTTCGGTTATCAAAATTTGCGACGATAGCGCACTTAGAAAAAGGAAAAAAACACAGACCGAATCATGTAACGCCGGGCGCGTAGTGGAACCAAACTGCACGGCGCATACGCAGTGGACGCAAGCACCCAGCTATGCGACTACTGCAGGATACATTTAAGCTGTTTTGTGTCCGCATTTGACGCGGGAACATGCATCTAGCGGGAGCGAGGTAAGCTTTGGTTGATGCTTTCCAATCCTCTCTGCGTATGCTGCCTAGTAATCATAACTTTATTAAAACCAAGCGGTTTTGAAGTGACGGTGGTGTTGTCAGTTGTGATTCTTGTTCTACATGTTCCGGGTTGGAACAGCCTAGTAGAAAATTTTATCCAGACTCAGGAAAAGGTCCATAAGTCTTGCTGTATTTTTCTTATCCAGCATAAAAATTTGTGAGGATGGCGCACTTAGAGAAGGAAAAGTAGCATGGAACGGAACAAAGACAGTGGGACAGAACGACAAAAGCTATTTGGTCTTGTCATGTCAATCTTATCAACACTAAGGTGATTTATTCATAGTGGGATGGCTGAACCAAAACTAAACGCCTGTTGCCGATAACTTAATCGTGTCGACTGGCGATGTCTTCGCACATGCAGACCACTTTTTGTGTATGCCATGCTCCTGATCTGAACGCATTCTCTTCTTCGATGCTTTCGATAATCCTTACCACTAACATAACATTTGTTCCGTGAGCCTAAGCCGAAAAAGGGATCGTAATTAAAATTTTTTAGAGAATAGCATCATAGTACCATAACCGAGCATGTCAATGCAACTTAACAATAAAAAATACGGATGAACACCCCAAAAAACGCGCAAAACACTTAGAACACGCACACCAAACGAATTTGAGTTTTGGCAGCGCCGCACCCATTGTCATGACACCTCTCGAAAAGTCGAAGTACTGCAAATGAGCCGGTCTGTCCACTAGGGTGGCAATTTCGCATCCCACTTTGGCAGCCCCTCTGAAGTCCTGCAAACATTCCATGACAAACTCAATCGATGCCATAATGAAAAGTGCGTTTAGTAAAACATAAAATCTTGTCTAGGCAGTCTTCTGCACCTCAAAGCATACCATTAGTTTCAAGTGAGGTTATTCCCCCATACCTAATACTTGTTTCAATATCTCTATATATGGAGCATCCCATTTAAGAAAACACTGGCTCTGCCCTAAAGGAAGACATGCGATGTTGCTGTAACTGTACGCAAGATAATTCACGCGCACGAGTCACGCCAAAAATATTTTTGTGATTCTTTTTTTGCTGTGCCAGCTTCATTACAAATCCTTCAATCGTCCATCCCAGACTCTCCTTGTACTGCTTCTCAATGCTCACCTGGCAATTCCCACAAATCACCCGTCACATGAACGCGACCGCTCTTGAAGCGACAGGCCGTGTTATAACTCGATGAAATCGGTCCAACATCGGCCGTGCACTGACAAACGATCGCAACCGGCAGCCACGGCCTTAACAGCCAGCAATCCGTCCCCACGTGCTTCCAAGAAATCCGTGTGGGAGTCATCTCAACACGATGGAGGACATCCCACTCTGACACGTTTTGTCAAAGTGATTGCTAGAAAAGGTCACGTGGTTTAAGCGTTTTTTTTGTTTTTTTTTGTTTTGTTCTCATAGTTTTGCATCAGCAGTAAACCAAAACAAAACAAAAAAATCATTATCATGTGGGGCGCACCATCACTACGCACAGCGTGAACCAGCACCAACATCATTCATATACAAGCTCAAAATAATTTTGCGCTTTCAGCTGATGTCTATGCCTGCCTTTTTGAAGTCCAGCAGCGTTTCCTTTGAATCGACGATCTTCGACACGTTGATGCGTTGTAGAAAGACGGTGGCGCCGCGCCAGCAGGCGACGGAGGGCAGCGCGACACCGTCCGGCCAGCGATCGGGCCCGTGCTGTATATCTGACCGGGTCTGAGAAAGGTCAAACAGATTACCAACACGTGCCCACACCAATGGAAAGAGAGAGAGAGAGAGAGAGAGAGAGAGAGAGAGAGAGAGAGAGAGAGAGAGAGAGAGAGAGAGAGAGAGAGAGAGAGAGAGAGAAAGAGGGAGAGAGAGAGAGAGAGAGAGAGAGAGAGAGAGTGAGAGAGAGAGAGAAGAGAGAGAGAGAGAAGAGAGAGAGAAGAGGAGAGAGAAGATAAGAGAGATCTAGAAGATCTAGAGAGACGCTCTCGAGCATCTCACTCTCTACGATCTCCCTACGACGCTGAGTTCTACTCTCGAGCTGCTCTTGACTCTAGTGCGCTTACCTCCCTTACTGCTGATCTTTGAGAGAGAGAGAGAGAGGGAGAGAAAGGGGCCGTCGCACCGTGGTCACGTTGTCGTCGATTATCGGTGAAAGCTCCGACATTCGCACGCGCCAACTTGTTTGGAGCTCCTGCTCCCTTCTCCTCATCTTGATGTAGGTTAAAACGCTGAAAATGAAGAGCACACCAACTGAGCCTAAATTTAATGGTATTCATGGCGCGGCTGTTATTACAAGAAACCTCGAAAGTAAGGAGGAGGTGGAGTTTATCCACCATCCCTTATCGTTTTGTGGCACAGAAAACGAGACGAGATACTCGTGATGACCTGCACCTCCCATCATTGTTGTGTAGATACTGAACAAAACACATCATATCTATACAAAGATATCACTACTGACAAGTCTACACTGACACCGCCTCTCCGCTACGCCACGGGTTCATTCAGAGAGTGCTCAGTGCGCAGTAGAGAATGACGACTGTCGTGACCAGGATAAGTCCATCGCACACTTTCATCATAACCTTTTTTCGAGGACCCGCACGCTTTCCTCCGCGAAAAGCTTGTTTGGAAGCAGTCTAAGCTCAGCCGCGAAGCAGGACATTCGACTTACAAAACCCTACACCAACATTATCAACGCACGCGACGGTTTTCCCCGCATGCTGCTCAAGTGAAGAAAGACAACAGGCTGAGAAGCGTTGCGACTCCCATGGCGAAGGACAGCAGGCCGCGGAGCGTCACGCCTCGCATCGCGAAGCAGGGCAGCAGGCTGAGAAGCGTCACGACTCACGTAGCGAAGAAGGGCATCAGACTGAGCAGCGTCACGGCTTACATGGCGAAGAAGGGCATCAGGCTGAGAAGCGTCACGACTCACATGGCGAAGAAGGGCATCAGGCTGAGAAGCGTCACGACTCACATGGCGAAGAAGGGCAGCAAGCTGAGCAGC